CCATTGACCAACCCACTGCTGCTGAAGGCTTGTTTCTATTGAGGGCTTATTTGGTAGAATGTTAGACCATCTGGCACTTTTAAACTCCTAAAACTTCAGAAGCAAAAATAATTGCCTCCACTGGTGTTAACTTTCAAATATAATGATGCTACCATTTTTGGAATGGATATCTACCTAGGAAGATAAATATGTTTTACTTGGGGATTTTCCATCTATTGATTTGATTTTGTGTGAAAAAAGTAACACATGCTGTGGTAAAATTTTCACACAGTATAAAAGATTTAAACTTAAAATATCCCATTCTAGACACTCAAATCTCCAATCTTTTAGACATAATCATTATTGCTATCTTATAGTTCTTTACACAAATAGATTATTTCATAGATTGTACTTATACATAACTAAATCACTCCCTCCTTTTTTGGTGGGTACATATATATCCTATATACATACATATATATTAGAGATTATTTATTAGCCATTGAGACCATCTCCTTTTTATAGTCACATAGCATTCCATTATGTGAAACTGCTGTAACTTACCTTAGCCAGTTACCTATTGATGGACATTTATAATGTTTTCAGCTCATTGCTATATCAAATAGGGTTTATTGAACATCCTTGTACATATGTCTGTACACATTTGCAAATTCCTGGGAACAGAATTTCTGAGTCAAAGGTTATTATATGCATTTTGATATTCCATGAGTATTGTTAAATTATTACCTACCCCCATATTGGGCAGATTCTAGTAATCTCCAGGAAATATAATGGCTTAACCTAATTCTGTTGAACATAGGAATTCTTCATCCTATAATCAATCAGCCTACTGATTTTCTTATAGGCTGCATAATACACTGGGTTCACCACCTATGGAGTACTTTATTGAAAACTTTTTGGAAAGAAACAAGGATATAATGTAGAACTCAGTAACTCTAGGAAAAAATGGATGATCGTGGTCTATGACTTTTTGGGGGAGGCCATATTTGTAAGTGTAAGTTGTTCGTGTTGTCAGCATATTAACTGGTTATTGGTGAGATTAGTGAAAGTGAATCATGACTAGGGAATTGAAATAGGTCAGGGGTGTGATCTTGCAGAGAATTCTGAATAGGATACTAAGCACGAAAACAGCAAGGCCATGGTTCAGTTGAAGCAGTAACTCAGCTATGAATGGATAAGTCTACATGCATTAGGAAAACCCTACTGCCTAGTATTATACACAGAAATACGGCTGATCTCCTGGGGTTAGTTTGAACTTCCTCTGTGTTTACCCAATCTTTAGTTCCTTAAATACAAATTCAGATTATAGGAATAGTGCCCTCCTGGGAAAAGTACCAGTTTTTCACTTGTGAGTGAAAACAGCTTGCACTTTCAGTTTTGATTTATTTTGACATTTTCATCACTGTTATTAAAATTTGTACTTTAATTTTGGCTTTAATTTTCCGAATCTGGATAGCTAAGGAAAATTGGAAAAACCTTTATAAAGCTTTTCAAAACCCTTTAAGAACCTTCTTTCCAGAGCCCTGTGTGATTTAGTTACATATCCCACAGGCTGTCAGTAGACATCTGGAGGCTTGGCCGCCTGAGATTGTTTCACTCTTGTGTGATGCTGCATACTTTTTAGAAAGGACATGGTTTGGAAACATTAACTTGTCTTGGCATTATTTTTAGTCACCTAATAAAGTGCACTCTGAATTATTAAATATTTAGAGGGTTGCTGAAGGCTCACCCCTGCACCTGGTTGCCTAATTCAGAAGCAGATCAGCTATTTCTCTTCCTGAACCCCTACTCCACCCACCCACTCCCCTTAAAAAGAAAATGCTCTTTGTGCCTTTTAAGTATCTATTAGAATCTTCTGGCTATGAGTTATAGAAATACATACAAACACGCACAAAGTGTTGAATCATTTTCTTATGAATCATTAATTTTATTTCCCAATTACCACCTGTATAATTGTCAAAATTGATGGCATTATATTGAAGAGGTGAACATTGAAAATAATTCTTTGTGTACAAAGTATATCGCCTGAACTTCCTGGGATAAAAGGAGAGCTCCCCTTTTCATCAGAGGGCTCAGGCCTCCATCTTTGGATTGAACTTTCTGCCCTTTAGGGCTGTATATTACCTTAAATAGCTACCAGCTGACAGCCTTCGCTGCTGGTTGGTGTTGACTAGAAAGCTGTAATGTATGGAGTGGTCTCTCCTTAATGGCACTTCAGTGGTAGAAGACAGCGAATTGAAATCTCAGATCATGATTAGGGTCTTGAAGCTATTTTATTTTTGGATTATAAACCTCAAGTTAGAAGCGTTATGAAAAGGAGAATTGTGTGTATTTCTTTCACAAGAAATAAACTGGATCTTTCCTTGAGTCAGAATGGGCTTATAACAAGTGAATTTTTCTACCCATGCCTGAAGCTCTTCATTCTGGTAATGAATAAGCCATAATGTAGCGATTTATGTGTAATCACCTATTGACCTCCATATGCTTCACTTTAGAGGCTCCTAAGAAGCTTTTCTTCTTTTCTTTTCTTTTTGTTCTTTGTATTGACCAATATAAAGAGAAACCTGCTAGGTTTTACATCTTTACAGTTTTAAAAATTTGAACTGAGTGTTTACTGGAAAGGGTGCTTTTAGATCAACTATAGGAGTTAAGACGTTACTTTGTTTTTCCACAAAGCATGTAGACTGCTCTTTTTGCTTATGTTTGATCGAACCCTAAAGAATGTCTTATTGCCTTAACAAAATTACTAAATAGGTCATCTTTTAAACAAATTACATAAAATATAGTTTTTAAGTGTAAAAATTTTTTAAATTATCCCAGCCTATGGAAGTTCTTGGCAAAGCCATGTAGACATTTAGTGCTCATTTGGGCATTGGAATTTGGTTTTAATTGAGTAATTTAGATTTAGATGTTGTTGAGTCCATTGTTGAATTTTCCTGTACTTGTCTGTGGTTCTGGAAACTTTACTTTCTCATAGAACTATGTGTCTATGTTTGAGATATAACTTACTGAGCTAGAGATTCCAGGGTTATTCAGTGTTGATCTGTTGCAGGGATTGGTAGTATTAAGTTTATTCTACCTCTTGAGGATTAGTGAACAATTTGTTTGCACACTAGTTGAAACTGGCAAAATGTCAGCTACTTCAAATGTCATCATCCAATTTATTAAGTCTCTCTGGTGATGTATTGCTTTCACTGGAGACCTCTGTTTTTTGTTTTAATGATTACAGGATTACAAGTGATAATGTATCAAAGAGGTGCTAGGTAAAAAAAGGGGCTATGGAAATGTAAGTTTTTTTCCAGGATGATATTTTGTGTGCTGATTTTAAACTGAGAAAGTATTCTCATCTTACGGATATCAAACACAATTCAGAATAAAATGCACTCACTGTTATAAAAGCAACTCACGTTTGCATTTTATAAGCCTCACTTTGAATGTGTTACTGAATTATCAAAGAGTATGTTACTTTTAAATACTATATCAAATATTTAGCTATTTGAATTTTATAGACTATCTTTGGATTTTTACATAAATAATCTATTTGCCTTTTATACTTAAAAATAACATTTTTGGTTATTTTCCATTGTTTTAGTGAGAATGCAGTACCCTGTAATGAAAATTAGTGAGGAATTTTAAATTTTCTTTTGAATGATTCCACATTCTTTTGATGATCCCTTTTGAATATGGATCCACTAAGTTTTGTACCCTCTGCCTTTCTCTCCTTCTAAAGAGACTGTCGTCATTGCTAGTTTTATCAATATCTTAGTTTTTGATATTTTATAACTGTACGTAAGGGAGCTTAATTTAAGTATTCTCTTTTCTGATAGAGTATGTCAGTTCTGAGAATGAGTAGTTGATATAGAGGTATCCACTTCTGGACATTCTATTCCAGAATTCCACGCAGCAACATACTCTTGTTCTCTTTCCTTAGCCTATGAAAGACATAGGTACTTATAAAGTACCCTTGCTCTTATGTTTCGGGGAAGAATCCCTGATACAAAGGATGCTCTTTCTTTTCTCTCATTTTTATTAGGCCTTGTGTTTAGCCTTGGGTAAGGACACAAGATATTTGAGGCTCTTCTAATAATAACATATCATTCTCGTCTTGGTATAAGAACCCGATAAACATAAAGAATCTACTTCAGAGAAAGACTGTGGTATTCTCTGTTGTTCTGGAGAGTTTTTATTTAATTCACTCTCCTGATATGTGCATGGGGGATGGCGTGTTTGCACATGTCTCTGATCACAGTCATCCAGCACCCTGGGTGGTTGCTGGAAGTTTGCCCAGCTGAGAAAGATTGTTCTTTTACTCTCTCTCCTTTATTTATTTATTTTTTGTGGTGGTGGTGATGGTGATGGTGCTGGTGCTGGTGGTTTCTTTTGTCTTGTATTTATGTAAAAAGTTTATTTGCTGCTGTTGAGAGATCTCAGCATGTGGCCCTAGAACTCTCACAGACCAGGTTCCATGTGGTCGGTTTTTGTGTAAGTTTCTTTGCTACAATTCTGATGGTTAGTCTTCGTGCTGATGTTAATGCTGCTTTGATCCTAACTGCAGATTATTTTTACTTATGAATTTCTGAATAGCCATTAGATTAACCCCTTTGTTTTTGAAATCAATAGTACCTGTGTATAAATCTGGACTAGGTGCATTGAGGTGAAACACGTTCTGCTAGAAATCTCATAAAGCCATTTTGCCTCTGGGGGCATGTAGGTTTTTATGAATAAATAATGAAAATATTTTAAAAGCTTGTTAAATGTGTATAGATGGGCATATGTAAAACACATGCTATTTAAATACTGATAGGAAAATAAGTAGGGAATGAAATGGAAAAAAAGAAAAATAACCACATTGTATACTGTTCCCTGATAGGTTTTTAGTTTTTTCTGCTGTTAAATGGAATCTCTTACTATGTATATTTAAATGAGTGCTGACAATTTTGATATTTAAGCAATTCAAATTGCCTTTTAAAAGATGCATATTCTAATTTCAGGGTCCCCCCACTTTGGTCTATACCCTGAAGCAAAAAGTAAACTTAGCTATATTAACATTAATATATTAATAATTTCATTTGTGATGATATTACCATTTAAAACACTGTATATTTATGATGAAATTTTGCACACAACTAGAGAAATATGTTTCATATGGCTATTTCTGTCATATTTAACTTTTATTGATATACTAAATAGCTATGTAACATACATAAAGGCATAATCACGTATGCCTTGGAATCATGTCCATAATACCACCACGAAGAATTTATAATTTGGATTGAAGTTTTTCTTTTAAAATGATTACACTTGAAGTTTGTGGAACATAGCATTTCTCTGAGTGCCAGTAATAATTTAACATCAAAATGGAAGACACATTCAAAGTGATTAGTTATTACTCACATTTTTGAATACAATAATTTCACTTGTTAAGTTTTATGTTAGAGGCAAATAACTTCCCCATAGGAGAAAAGTCTGAATGACTTTCAGTCTTATCAATGAGATCAAAACACTTCCCTTTGAAAGTATTTTCCCTATCATTTTACAGTTAAAACTTTTTTTTTTTTTTTTGGAAATAATAAAAGTAATCAGGCATATTTTCTTTTGTGATTTGTATTGTTCTGTACACTGCCTCCCTTTCCTTTCATGGGTTGGCTCCCGGTTGGAATAGGGGTGCTGTGACCCATTCAGGATTGAGACAATGTGCAAGGCACTGCCTGCCTTCCTACTGAAGTTTGGGGCAGCAGGTTTCCAGGAAGTGGGAGTGAGCTTCACTTCAAACTGTGTGAGGGGTGGTGGAAAGGGAGGATGCTGATTAAAATAATAAACAACTGCCGGAGAGAGAAGTCGATTGCCACACTGCTGTCAGATCAGGGAGGGGAGCTGCAGAAGCTGGCTGAGGCTGCTCTCCCCTGCCACGGAGCCTGCAGAGGGGACCAGGAGACTTGCTGCTGCGAGAACTTTCTCCAGGCAGATAGGACAACTTTTAAAACAACTTTAGTTCTGTTGCATTGACAGCATCCCTTAGCCCAGGCCGACCTAGGGAAAGGGACTGAAACTGGCTTGGTGGTTACCATAGCAACCGGGCTGCTGGTGTCTGGGAGAGTGAGAACCGGTGGCCTCTTGTCCCGTGTTGGGTGTTTCCTCTGCTAAGAGCGCACTCTTCCTTGTTCGAACGCTCCCTAAGTCATGCTCTTTGAAAACTGGCTCTTTACCCAGGATTTTTTTTTCTTTTTCTTTCTGAAACCAGTCTGAATGGAGGAAGTTGGTAATACTTGGCTTTTTTTTTTCTTCTCTCATACAAGTTTCCAGGATATAGCTTCTTTTTTTTTTTTTTTTTTGCTGTGTGTAATTGAGAACAAACTCTAAGCTTGGGGCCCAGGAGAGAACCGTTGTGGCCTGCAGGTCATTAGTGAGGTGAGCAGAAGGGAACCCTGGACTTCCCAGAGAAAGAGGAGACCATGCCAGCCTCGTGGAACGCAGCTACCAGAAAACACAGAAGCGGGTCTATCCCTTGCGAACTCTGAAGTCCATGAAAAAACGGACCCACGGTGGGGTGGCTAAAATGTCCCAGCGCAAGCTGCTGCTGCTGATGGACCGTAGCTCAAGGGCAAGGCTTGTAAAGGATTTTACAAAGGATTTTAAAGTATAGCCAGAAAAGATACGGTTTTTAGAAGTGAAACGCTGTTGTTTGAAGGAAGTTTGCCGGAAAGATGTAGGCTGCAAGGGTTACTGGACGATGATTGGTCTGAACTTCAGCTTACGGGAATTGCTGACAAAATTTGAAAAGGTATGCAGAAAGCAAACTTTGTGAATCTACTCTTTTTCCTTCTTTCTTTCCTGGTCTTTTTTTTTTTTTTTTAACTATATGTTTAGGTGGCAGATATTCTATTGACTCTTTGGTGGTTTGATGTAATTTATAAAGCATATTTGATTTTGATATCCTCTTTAAATTGGTTTTTCCAGTAAAGGGCAAATTAGCAATTCTTTCCTTTGGTCTGGAGGGCTTCTCCTGAGGCTTGTCACTTTTAGAGTTCCACATCAGAAGAGATCCTTTGTACTCAAGTCGGCTGGTAACTTAATTGAAACTTCTTTTGGGGAGGGGGGAAACAAAACTAAAACAAAAACGCAGCAACAAACACCTGGTTTTGGTGCCAGAGTCTGACTTCATCGGGCATGGCTTCTGTTTTCCATACCCCTCAGGTTGCTGTCTCCAGACGCTAAGCCCGCCCTTTGCAGCCCTCTCTGCCTGTGGACTCAGTTTGGAGTTGCAGGAGAAGTCGCCTTGCAGCCACGATGGCACATCTGACCTCAGGCGTTTTCTTTTTATCTGTGTGTGTTTTAAATGTGGAGTGCTTGTACACACTGTGGGGCTTTACTGCTTGGATTATTAATTTCGTGTGTAGTTCTTTTTTCCATAGGAAGGCTCTTGGCACACTCCAGGTTGAGTCTAGCCTGCCAAATGCTACCTTACATTTATAGTTAAAACAGAAAACCTTCACATGCCACATATGGGCTCTCGCCCCTCCTTAGCTTGTGGATGCCAAGCACCAATCTTCCGATTTCCAATCTTTAAATAAAAAGAAAGGGAGAAAGAGGTGAAGTCCTCTCTCACTAAGTGCACAAGTCAATTATTTATCAATTGTTAAAAGATGTCCTCAGTGGTTTTCACCATGGATACCCTCTGGTTCATTGCAAGTACAAATACTGTAGAAGCCAGACTGTATTGAGTCATTAAAAAAGAATAATGGGCTTTTCCATATAAACCGCAATTGCCAGAGGGAAAAGATGTAAAACCACACCATTTGAAAAGTTGAGAGGCTTTTCCAAAACAATTGCAGTCATGGCTTGCTTGCCTTCTGATGGTAGGAACATTGTAGTGGGAAGAATGTGGAGAAAGGGGAGTTTAGCTCCTCCTAGGCAGGTGCTCCCCAACTCTCCCCAACTGTAACCCTGAGGATTATGCTTGTAAGGTGGGGCAGACTTTGACCTCTCGCTTTAATGCGTCGTTAAACAGCTAAATTTCTGAAAGATGCTTCCCTGTCAGCTTGCTCACCATTTAGAAGGGGCAAGAGAGGGAAAGAATATCTTCCTTATGGCAGCTGGTAACAGCAGGTGACAAACTTTATGACCATAAAGAGGTCTGTTAGCTTGTTTTGTATAGATTTGTCTGTTTCTTCCTTAAAAGGTACGGGCATATGCTACATGAATAATTCATTGCTTAGACCCCCTGAGAGGCAGTAATTGTGGGCAATAGCTGGACTTTTGTATTGTAATTGCTGCTATTAGTCTTAAAAGCGTAGGTCAGATACCAGAGGTTAGTAACCTGCCTCAGCCTTCAGGCCCTTTTATTGGTGGAGTTAGAAGTTCTGGTCATGCTTCCTCTTTTAACTTTCAAGCCTCAGTTTCTGAATATTTCTTATTTTGGTAGTTGAATCGACAGTGAAAGAAGTCTACTGGCTTATTCCTGTTAAAGGCTTGATTGGGGTTGGTTTTATTATTTATTTATTTATTTATTTTTTGGTTATCATTTTTTTGAGACAGAGGGCAAATTCAAAGAAACAATCCTGCTACAATCACAGTCTGAAGTTCTCCACGTGTTTATTTTTGTGTTAGACACCGTTATAAAAACCTATGTGAAAGTTAATCTCTTTGCCATATTTCACTTGTAGGAAGTTGTCATACATGAATGTATTTTTCCCCAACTCAAGTCTTAAAATCCTTTGTGTATTTTTACAAAAGCTGTCTCATATGTTGCGCCTTTGCTGCACTGATTCATTGCCAGGAAAAGTGAAATTATGAAAAGGTATCACTGCCTCACACCTCTCGAATACAGCTAACTGCTTTCCTCCATCTCTGAAAGTAATAATTCCATTTCTAGGAAAAGATCAAGGCCTACTGCTCTAATGCAAAAGCGACAGGATACCTTCCAAAAGCTGAATAGCAGTCTTTCCATATGCAAAGGCAGAATCCCTTTACTCTCAACTCCCTTAGTCCATCTTTTCATCAGTATTCGTGACCTGTTTCTGGAGAGAATGCTAACCTTAGTGATTTAACACTTTTCATATCAGTAGTTATAATTGTTCAATTTGATGTTTAGGTTATCACAGTAAAAAGGTGGTTGTGCTGTGTCCCTGGAGCCTTTTCATGCTTTAAGAAAACTGGTGTCCAGTGTTGGGAGAGTGGACCCAAATCCTGCTGTGTTCAGTAGTTGAGGCCAGCCAGCAGCTGAGTGGGAGGCCTTGCACTGATGACTAATCTGGTTATAGACAGGTCAGATAAAGTTCCCAGATGAAAGCAGACCTTCAGCATAACTTCAAGGAAGCAGTTTGTTTGTGGAGGCAAACTGAAAGGGATGTTCCAGTAGGTATTTCTGAATTTTAGAGAAATCCAGTGGTTTTATGATTTTAATTGGGTATCCATTCATATATGAATTTTTGGCACATGATTGAGTATCTAGTCCCAAAACCTGGTTTTCCAGCCTCGATAGGATGGGAAAATTGTACTTGGTACTCATTTTTAATCTTCTAGAGCCAGAAATGGCAATGCTGGGAGGACCTGGGGTTCCAGAGGTTAGGAAGGATTCTATTCCCACAAGATGATAGCTCATCAAGGATCAGGAAGCCCCAGTTGGGAGGAACCATACATATGCCAGAGTGGTACCTAAAGAGGAAGAACTAGGATGACCAAGTGGCAAGATGTGCCTGCTAGTAAGCAGGTCCTAATCATCCAACCTAATGATGAGGGATAAGCAATTGTGACTTAGGCCCAAGGGTGACTATCTGGAGAGTTCGAACTCAAGGTTGACTTGAGACAGGAAGCTGGTCCACCAACACACCTCTCTGAAATCCAGCCTATACGTTAGTTTATTGCCACCCTGACTTTAATTAATTATTTTCTCCCTGAAAGTACTTCTTAAGGGAAGTATCTCATGCCTTTAATGACTATTAATATACTATCATACTTGAGCCATATTCTTGTGTACTGTCTTTATTCCCTTTGTTTTGTAGTCACGGAGGAGAGAGTCATGGACGTTTTTGGCTCAGTGACATTTTGAGTGATTGTTACCTTTTATTATTAATAATTTATGCAGCCCTGCTACTAGATGATTAATAATAATGGTAGTTCTCTAAGTTTTTTTTTTGTTTTTTTTGTTTTTTTTTTTGGTGTGTGACTGAGTAGTACCATTCTCTTGGTGAATCCTTGGGGAGAGATGTTCCCCATAGTGACAACACTCAATGCTGAATTTCTTGTTGGCATTTACTGCCTTTAAGATGACTCTAATTTTTAAAATGCCAAATTGAGGCTATCTTGTGTAGCTCAGTTTGTAATATCTAATTTTGAAACAAATATGTAAACTTCACACTTCAAGGTCTACTCATTTATTCCATCCTTAGTCCGCATTTATAGAAGTATATAGTATGTACTGGGTGGTGGCCCAAGTGTAGACATGGAAAGGACAGTGGGGAAGACCTTCCCTCATTGATATTACAGCCTGGTCGGAAGATACAGATCTTTAAAAAGGATGTTTTAAATGACAAGTGCATGATTGAACAAAAAGTAGAGGGAGTCAGAAGAGTAGCAGTAGCCATAGTTAATCTCAGTGCTCATGTAGTCTCTCTGGGAGCAATTACATTTAGACTGAGACTCAACAGAAGAGTTTAAGATGAAGGAAGGAAATGAGATTGTGTGCCAGTGTGCACATGTGTGTGTGGCCTGTGGGTGGCCTTGAGTCACAGGAAGAGATGGGAGCTTTCTGGGCAATAGGAACTGCTTTGACACGGGTCAGGAGTGATGGAGGAGCTGTATGCCCCAGGATTGTAGTTTTAAACATTTAAAATGCAATAACTCTTGTCTGGGTTTCAAATCTGTTCAATTTTGATTATACTGTCTGATTTGGGGAATTAAGGTTAGACAATAGTTTGGCTTCATGAAATATTTAATAACTGCTCTTAAGAAACTTGTGTTCATATGCAGATCAAATCTGCCCGTGTATAGTGTACCTCAGAAGGGAAGCTACTGTATTTTAATTCACTACAATTTTAGTGTATTTTAGGAACAATTGGTTTTTAGAGTTGAGGATTTGGAACATTTTTTGGTTGTCAAAGATATTTCTCCTTATAACAGTGTTTACTATGTTGAAATTTAAAATGTAATTTATTTATTGATTTTTACCATTACAAATTGGCTATTATCTTGAATGTGCAATAAACTGTGAGTTTGTTCCATTTAGTAATTTGACTTTTTTCTACTCTATTGTCTTACCTATATTTATAATCACAGTTAATGGGAAAAGAACATTATTAGCATTGATTTCATAATTTATACATGCTGCTATAGATCTGATGATATCACCTCTGTTGGTCAAAATGTGATTCAGTAGAGTGATTAAAATCTGTGAGATTAACTGTTGGAAGAAAATGTAGTTTATAGAATAATTTAATAATTGATTGAAATAAATTAATTAATTGAAATAATTAACCAAGTAATTAATGGCAATTACTCACCATCCCAGAAACCTCACAAACTGTCTCAGGCATATTTACATATAACAAAACCTTCAATGATAATTTTTTCTTTGTTATTGTATTATTTAGGTAATATCTGATTTTCTTTTTAGAAGTTATGATTCATTTTCAAACCTGAAAGCTCTGGCAGTAATCCTACTGAGCTCCTGAAAGTCAATTTGAAACTGTCTCTGAAATCCAGTCTAATCTTTGGAAGGAATGGTGGATTTATTTTCCCCTAATGTTTAACTTTGTTTATTTAGCCTGAGCTTTGGGACATGATAGGGAAGTTGTTCTAACCTCACTTCTTCTTCACCTTCAGGAAAGGGGTCAGAACTCCTTTAGGCAAAACATGGCTGTAGCCACGTAGGGTTAAGTAAATATGCCATGCAAAAATAAACCAAAATTATGTTAGTGAGACACAAAGAGGATGAAATCTATCCTAACACCCATTTGGTTGTTGAAGACTTCCTGGTGGTACTGTTGTAAATCTCTGTTTCCTGTTAGAGGGTTCAAAGAGTTCTGTTAATTGTAATCTGAAGAAATATTTTGGCTTACATAGTTACAGCTCCTGCTTGATTATAAACCGTTACCAAGAATTAGTATGTGATATACATTAGAAAGTGTTTGTAATTATATCATTAAAGAACTGTCCAGTTAAGTGCAAAATTGGTGTTAAAATACTGATTATTAAATAAGTAAAAAGTAAGTAAATAAATAAGTGTTTTTCTTTATTTGTGAAGTTTATTTTGACCTGGGTAGTAGATGTTGTGCACAAAAAGAATAGTTGTTAATCAGTGAACCTCTGTGAGCTTTTGTAGCCATTTTTGAGAGGGTTGCTCTGAAACGTTGCGTCTTATTATGCTTTTGAGGGTGTTGTACTTAGAAAAAAATATGCAGTCCTCTTTTTCTAACCCCTGGCTTTTCTTAACCTTCTAGATTACACTTACATTATTTAAAGATACTTTTCAAGTGCATCCTTGAGCCATTTCTTCTGCCCTGTTTTCAGATGTTAGTTCACTGCTTGAATATCTTGCCATGGCCCCTCCTGTGCACATGACCGGTTTATGTTAAATGCTTGGAAGAGCATTGCTTTGTGCTTCTAGATGGATTACATTCCCATAACTAATTATCTGTAACTATTTTGTGCTGTTTAATGGTCAGAAGGGCTTGCAGGTGACAGAGGTAAGCATTAGTAGGGCCAAGTGCCCCAGCTGTGCAGTGAGAGTCGACCCTCTTTCATGGAAGTGCAATTTATTGTAGCATTTAATGCCACATCAGGGCTGTGATCTGACAGCCTCCCATGCTGACATCCTGCTTTTAGAAGCAGTGCATCATTGCACAATGATCTACGAAGGAGCATGAATCATTAACCACATTTAATTCTAAATTTCCAGTGAACGCTTAGGCAAGACTTTGCAGTGTAGGCTGCTAAATAGTTTTAGGTTCCCCCTATTAAATTTTTTAAGTGAAGAAATTAAACAAAATGATTACTACATTCCCTTCCAGTTCTTCAATTGTCTGTTTTTTTCCTGGCACTACAGTGGCTAATTTGCCAGTCAATCAAGATGCACTTATTCATACCTTCCTTCATGGGTTTATACACTTATCTATGTATCCTCTATCTATTCTATTTTACATTAGGCTCATTCTATGTAACAGAGACTGTGAAGGATAAAGAAGAAATATTAAGATAATTTTCTGCTTTTAGGAGTTCTTGGTGTATCTGGCAAAGTAAATATGCCACCAAATGTTACGTAAAACAAAATAATGTATGCTGATTTCCTTATCTTTGATCACTTTCTGGGTGTTGATTTTCTTCCCAACTTTTGATGATGTTCATGTGTGGAAGGTTTTCCACATATTGAAAGTTATATTCCACCATGAACATATGATCACTGGTGGTGCCGTTAAAGAGAACTTTATGGAATTACTTAACATCATTGGCCGGGCCAGTTAAGCAGTCCTGTTTCACCATGGTAGCTGGGTTGGAAAACATCACCTGATCTGATGAGGAGGCAAATTAGCTCATGTTCTTGGCACCCCAATTTCCTGAAGTTGGGGAATGCTCTTGTGAAATTCAGAAAACTATTTATACATCTTAATACCCTTCTATCTTTTTGCTTTTCTTGAATATGAAAGGAAGCAAATACATCAGGCTACAAGAGGATGTTGTGGTTTGAGGTTGTCTTGTGATTTTAGGTGTGGTCCACCAACCATAATCATGTTTAGGAAATGTAAGGGCAGGTTCTCCTTGGCAATAGAGAGCAAAGAGATGCTTTATTGTTGTGTCGTTGAGCTTATTAAGAAACATGGCTACCATACAGATATACGGCATTTGCTTGAAACCATTGCAGATATTATCTGCTGACCTTTTAATATTTTATATACTTTAGATGTCTTAAAATGCATTTCAAGACACAATAATAGAACAGTTCCATCCTAATGAATAGGAATCATCTTGTCTAGTACTGTAGTTCCCAACTCCCAGGCTATGGCCCATTACTGGTCCATGTCCTTTTAGGAAATGGGCTGTGCATCACCACCTGAGCTCCACACCACACTGTCACCCACATGATAGCCCACTCTATCTTCCCATCCCCAGTTCATGGAAATATTGTCTTCCATGAAACTGATCCCTGGTGCCAAAAAGGTTGGGGACCACTGGCCTAGGAGATGACACCAAATAACTTTTCAGCAGAACTTTCTTTTTCTCACTGAGAATTTCTATTTGAAGCATCTCAAACTATGACCACAGTGAGATTGCCATTTTCCATGCATAATATTACCCAAGCTGAGAACCTTGAATCAGTATCTGACTTTCTTCCCCAGCTGCCAGTGAAATGCAAAAGAGTTGCCAGTGAAATACAAGATTTAACAATCTCAGAGTTTCTGTTCAGTGGTTAGCCCTGGTTCTGCATATCACATCTTGCAGGTGGGAGTGATTTGGTTTTGTCATTAGGGTCAGATAACCTCAGAGATCAATGGGCTTGCAAATTTGGAGCATAAATCTTGTAGGCGTTGTCTATCAGACTTTGCGTTCATCTCACCCACTCTCCAAATCTGACCCTATTAGTATCATGTTAGATATCACAAATCCTATCACAAACAATAATAGGGCAGTTCTGCCCCTTCACCTCATGTTAAGTGACAACTTCCTAACATGCTGATTGGAGTGATGAGGTGCAAAAGACCCTTTATAGCTTTTGATATTGATTACAAATACTTCCTCAAAATATGAACCAATTTTTATTATTTATAATAATTCTCATTTTATTCAAACTTCACCTAACTGTATTCTATAAAAATAAACTACTTTCCTATATCATAGGGGAAAACATTTATTAATAGTTTTTATTTCTTAATGAGGATAAAATTATATGTGAAAATATTCTTTTACAATTTTAGAAATAAATTTTGTAAGACTGAAGGGGCAAACTATTAGTAATTTTGTCAAAATGTGAAAAACATTTAAAATTATGTAATTTCTTAGTGACCCCTATAAAGCGTTATATTTTAAGGGAAGTTTTGCCCATGTGTAAAGGGGAAAAATAATCTCTTTGGATATTAGGCAGTGTTTGATGATTTGGCAACAAAAGTTATATGAAATTTCAAAAATTGCTCACTGAATTTGAAATCTGACATCTAACTAGCTGATGCATAAAATTTAGATTATAATACATTCTCTTTTTAAGAACTGGGGAATCAATATATTGAAGATTTAAAGACTATTATTTTCAGTGTAAGGATTTGGAAATGCTTGAATTTGTTGTCATTTAGGGTGAAATGAACTATTTTTCTTGAAAGCAATTCATCTGTGAATATAAAAAAATAAATACAGAAAACCCAATACCTAATACTGATACCTAACATTTGCATTTTCTCTGCTTTTTTCTCTTTAGGACATCCAGGCGGAAATCGATGCCCATAATGACATATTTAAAAGCATTGATGGAAACAGACAAAAGATGGTAAAAGCTTTAGGAAATTCTGAAGAGGCTACTATGCTTCAACATCGACTGGATGATATGAACCAAAGATGGAATGACTTAAAAGCAAAATCCGCTAGCATCAGGTCAGAATAGTCAATATCAAAATAAAAATAATGGGGGGTTGATTTCTGTGATTTTTATGTATCAGAAAGAAAGAGGGCAGCCTTACTACCAATGCTACTTTCTCAGAAATTGTCTAAGATTTAAATGCAAGGACTATTTTCTTGAAAGTTATAGTTTTAGCTCCATTTATATCCAGTGCTCACTGCCAACTGTTCTTGACTATTCACAAATGTTCATATCATATTTTAAACCTAATGCTACTACTACTGCTAATGTTACTGACTCCTGCTAATTACTGAGTGTTTACCTTGACCCAGTATTGTGTTAGGATTTTTACAAACATTATTTTGTACCAAAAATATCCCAGTAAGAGGGATGGTAAAAATCCCCTCATATGAGGAAATAGAGGTTTAATGAACATAACGAACTTGCCAAGTTTTTGGGCTAACAAGTGCCAAAACCAGGATTTGAATCTAGATCTTTTTGACTTTTGGCAATGAACATGTTTTGCTTCATCATGCTGTTTGTACATCCAATTTGATGATGTATTTATAGAAATTAAATATCTTTTATGGACACCAAAATAGAAAACTGATGATTCATGCCTGCATTTGGAGAGAGTAAAATTAAATAAGGGGGAACCTTAGGACTAGAATGCTGAATAGGAAAAGACTTTGAAAAATTACCCAGCATGACAGAATGATTATCGTTATTGGGGGCCAAGAATATTTTAAGATTATATTTAATAGATAATGGACAGTTCCTAATTATATTTAAGTTTAGGGAATACTAACTGAAGAAAATGTTATGACACATCCAAAAGAGGAATGTTGGTAGGAATTCCTAGATCAGTTTTTTTTCCTTCTGTGTTTCTTGTGTATAATCTTAAAACTAAGTGGTCTTGAATTTATCTCTTTGACTTTACTCTCTGATCTTGGGCAAATTAGTCCCTTTGAACCTTAGTTTTCTTATTTTTAAAATCAGAATATAAATATTTAACCCTCATAATTGTTGTGAAGATTGAATGGGATAATTTGATAGTTCCTTAATCTATGTAAAGCGTATCTCAAGAAGCATCTAGCTTATTTTTTTAATATACATAAAGCAGCATAGTGGATCTGTTTCATCTGGTTTTGGGATTTCATAGAATGACTTCATGAAGAGCAGAAATCTTCAATGATTATTTATTTTGAATGAATTTTTAAAAAATTTATTTCTGCTATGATGTCCTGCTGGGCACAGTGGGAGAGGCAAGAGGAAGGGGTTGAGCTTAGGAGTTCGAGGTTGCAGTAAGCTTTGGTCACTAGGTGACAGAGTGACACTCTGTCTCTAAAAAAATAAAAATAAATAAATAAGTAAATGTCCTGGAAGGTTTTTATTCTGCTGGGGCTCACAGAGGGGAATTTGCAGTTCCTTTTACATGTAAGGAGGGGAGTAATGTAGCATATGTTTGTATGGGTGTCTCTGTGTAAAGATCTTGTTGGAAATTATGTCAGCATCGGCCAACTACTTTTTTTTAAAGACAGGAAAATTAGAGAGTATTGTGCAGTGAGATAATATACTTGTTTAGGAATTGAATTTTCAACTGGCTAGATCCCATCAGGTCGTGACTTTCTGTTCCTCATAAATGTAAACAAATAAAAGCATACAAAAATGTTAACACAGTAAAAAGCATTCACTGAGAAGCCAGCAGAAGCAACATCTGGGCTAACAAGCTAAAAGTCACAGGGCTAGCCCTGGTGAAGACTGTTCATATGGTGCTGAAGTTTTCAGAGTTTGGAGAATGAACTCATTAGGAAGGAAAATTTAATGAAGGCCTACATCGTAAATAGATCATTCCAAATAGAAAGCTACAGACAAAAAAAAATCTTTGGTCTTTCATGAAAAGTTAACACCTAAGCCTATCAAGTCACATTTTTTCTAACCTGGAAAGAAAGAACTCATAAACTACAGTTGGAATATTATCTAATAAGTAAATTAATGTTATTTTTAGGAGATGGGAGAATGTGCATGGGCCAGTGGACTTCCGCATCAAGGTAGATCATGCGGTCCAGTAAAATGTGATAATGAATTCATGTGATCATGAATTAAAGTAATCTTTAGCTAGACTACTTATCTCAAGAGATCCAGGCACTTATTCAAATATTTAATACAAACTTAATTCTATGTTTAAGGCATTGCTAATCATAAATACAATGTGGTCCCTGCCCCTAGGTGCTTACAGATCTGTTCAGATCAGTTAGGGCCCAAAGGAGGAAGTGTTTACTCTCACATCAGAGGCTTAATAAAAAGGGAGATTCCTAAGCTGAGCCTTGAAAGATGGATTGGGTGAGGACTGGAGAAGGGCATCTAAGCTGGAGGCTTGAAATAACTGTGTTTTCGTGAACATGAAGAAGTTCGGTCCAGCTAAGAGTAGATTTTGTTGGTGCTGTAGTAGAGGAAAGACTGTGGCTAGAAAAAGGTAGAGAGAGAGGTAAGAAATAAATCATGGCACACCTGCGTGCACCATGCTCCCTTCCACTGGTGATGGAATTGGGAACTTTTTGGGAGATAAAATTAGATTTGAGCTTTGGAGGAATCCCTCTCACACAGCAACAGAAGATGCATTGGGTCAATCCTGAAGACAGTGAGAACTGTGAAGAAGCCCTTTCAGCATCTAGGACAGGGAAGAGAGATTGAATAGATACTTTGCTCACATTGTTGAGGCACTGGTGAGACATCCAAAAGCTAACAACCAGTAGCCACTGGATGGATGTCTGCTCTTCAAAAGAGAGCATGCTGTAAGTGAAACAAACAGATGGGATGGGTTGGGGGTTTCCAGATAGAGGTGACAGGTAACAATCATGATTTAATTATTCAAGAGGGTGAAACATTAGGAAAGGGCAAAGTAGATAAACTTGAGAAATCCTTTGAAAGGGAAGCCAGCAAAGGAACCTGAGCTGTGGCTGTCCTTGAAGAAGGAAGAGAACCAGGAGAAAATGTTGTCAAGAGCCTAAGAAGGAAGAATTTCAAAAAGAAAAGCAAAGGAAATAATGTCAGCTGCTTGAAGAAGTGGAGTAAGATCAGGCTTGCAGAGTCCAAGAGCAATAAGAAGGACTTTGGTGCCTCTTTGCCAGGGCAGTGTTTTGGTTGAGATAGAAATCTCGTTGCAGAAGACTGAAGAGACAGAAGAGGAAGTGCAGAAGTAGAAGTAGAACTGAGTCTAGTTATCTCAAGGAAGTCCATTGTGAAGGGGAAAGGAGAGAAGAATGCGATTGCTGTAACTGTATTATTACACATGACAGTATCACAGGTTTATAGCAGCTGCGGGGCCATATCTATGTCTGTTTTGACCTGTCCCTGCTTTCACATAAATTAGGTATGTTTAACTAGTGAAGTGAATGATCTGTTCTTCCTTTTTGTCTTCAAAAAGAAATGGGTGAAATAAATTACATTAGCATATTCCTTGTTACTTGGATATTTATAATAGATTAAGTGTTTTATTATTTCTCAGTAATGGTCCTTCATCTTGGAAGCATAGCTCAGAAAGAAGTGGTACAGGATAGTGTTTAATAGAGTTATTCTCTTGGACCTAGACTAACTGTTTTCAAACACTGGCTTTACAACTTAGCAGTTTACCACCATGGAAAGTTACTTAACTCAAACATGCCTCAGTTTCCCCATATGTAAAATAGGGATAACAAGAGTATCTTTCTTATTGGGTTGCCAAGAATATGTTTGTTTAATTAGCCTCTATAAAGTGCCTAAAACAGTGGTGCATGGTAAATACTTAATAATTTTTAACTACTACTGTTATTATTCTCATTGATTCCCACCTTGTTTGGCACTAGTTAATTTAAAAGACATAGATAGTCTCTCTACCTCATCATTTTCTATCTTCATCACTAATGTTGGGGATTTCTCAGAGTGTCCTTAGTACATAGCATCTCACTTTTCTGCTGGACTCTGAACTAGTACGAAACAAAAGTGTGCTCAACAGGCATGCGTAGCATGGCCAAAAAAGAATTGAAATGCCATGTTAATTACTGATCAAGGCCGGGCTAGAGAAGATGACTTAGAATGGAGGTGAGTAGGGCTGTTAGTCGAACCCCAGAATGAGACAGAATTACCAGTATCACTGGATGAGGTGGCGTCCCAAGTGGGAAACCCTACATAGAAGAGTAGAAAAGAACTCAGTCTCTGTAGGCCTGTTCTCAGGAGGAGAGTGTGGGCTGAGCTAAGCATATCCAGTTACTCTCCCTGGACTCGCAGTTCAGAGTCATCATGCTACCTCTGCAGGGATGAGTGGGAAAAGGGGTGGAGAAGCCAGAGTGTGCTTAGTGAAAAAATTCCTCCCCAAGAAGTGGGGGGATGTTCTCACTAACAAGTCTGTAGAGGTGGTCCACTCCCAAGGCCTCCTGACATCTTCATTCCCTGCGGGAAGTGAGGCCTGCAGAGCACTCTTCATTCTGCTCCTCTGTTGCTTCCTCTTGTTTAAAGCACAGGCTGCCCCTTACACTGCCTTCTATGGTGAGCAAACTCTCTTATGTCTTTCATATTTTTATAAACTCTTCCACCATTTTTCTCTATAATTGAAAGCTGTCTTTTCCCTTAATTGCCTGCTCTACTTGAAGCACTCTTTAATATATTATACAGATTAATTCCCCATTTTCCTCACCCAGCAGCCAATGGGAATATTCCGTATCTTTAACAACTGCTGTGGACATCAAACAATCCCATTGCCAGCCATGTACGCCCAGGATGGCAGCGGAAGACGCACTTGCTGAAACAAAAGCCTGACACGCAGGGATAAGTGGGAAAATGGGCATCCTCATTGCTGAAGCATTGCTTCTCCATCTCCCAACAACTCCTCTGAAGTGAATACACCCATCATTCTACCTCTTCTTCCCTTTGCTCCTGCTTCCTGCTGATTTGTACGCTTCCATACATGCTCATTGATTTGAGCAACCACTTACCTTTATTCTCCATGCTCTTCTCAGCTATTATTTCTTGGTGTCAATATCCATATTGATGCCTTTTT